GGGAAAGAGAAACAAGGGAAAGGCTCTGATGGAGTGACAGAGAAAAGGAGGAACGTGAAAGAGGAAAGATAAATGGGCAGAAAGTGAGTGAAAAGATGAATGCCCTGCATCCTCAGCTTGCATTTCACGTTGAACTCACTCCATCCCCTGTTCGCAATGATCCAGGCTGGGACTGACAGCCCACACTGGAGTGGAGCATGGGGAGAAATTGGAAGAGGAGAAAAAATTATATAGAAAGAAGTAAAGAGGAGGGTAAAAGAAGAAAATGGAGGGAAAGTTAAAAGGGAGACAGAGGAGAAGGGGGTAGCTTGAAGGAAGAGGTAAAGGACAAGGGAAGGGCAAAGCAGCAAGGGGAAGTCTGTGGCCCAGCTTATCAGTCATATGGGTGCCAGTAGCTGCAGCCAGTGCTGGCGGGGGGCCTTGTGTCACCACCAATTGGATATTGATCCTCGCCTGCCTGGTGAAGCCACTGTTCTTCCTTCTTTATGACACTTATTGAGTTCCTTTACTCCGTCTTTTATGCAGCAGAGTGAGAACACTCACCAGGCATCCAGCCCTGTGGTCTTAATTGCTAGTTGATGAGAAAGCCACGATGACTGAATCATCACTGTCAGAGGCAGTGCCTGCCCATCTCCTTGTGTTCCTCTGCTCCTGGGATCATGCATACTGCCCAGCTGATGGACTGGGATTGGGACCCAGTACCACCCTGTGCAGGGATGAGGCACCCCTCGCCTAGAGTAAGGAGGGGATTCAGGCACCACCCTGTCTCAGCAGAGGAAGGGTAACCTGACCAGAAGGCTCCCCTGCCCCTCAGGAGCCCTTATCCAGTCACACATGGGTTCATTCCTCTCCTCTGGTACACTTCAGCCATCACATGGAAGCACTGTCTTCCCCTAGAGGGATAAGGACATGAGGGCAAGAAAGGTTTTTCCTCTGGTCTAATGCTAGACCCTACATCATGACCATTAGCCTCTCTCCTTCCCCCTCCCCTGAATGGGAGAAGAGTTCAATTTCCATGTTCATTCCTCTTCTCTTCACATTGCCTTAGTGTTTCTGAATGTCTAGGTTGCCACTAATGGGGTGAATGAGGCTTAGGGTGGGCCAGTCCCTCCCCTTCCAGTCCTGCTGCTGAAGAGGGGGCCTGGGAACCACAGAGGCCTTAAATGTGCTTGAGACTAACCTGAGATTTGAAGGCTGAGGCTCACAGGAGACTCCCCACTAGGGACTGAGGGATTCTCCTGCCCTCTAGTGGGAGTAGTGGTAGCAGTGGGCCTGTCTCCAGTCCTATAGACCAAAGGACTCTCTTCTTTCCCCTTAGGAGTGGTAGTAGAAGGCCTCCTCAGCTGCATTAAAGGCCACAGCAGAGGATGCCTCTCTCTCTCTCTCTGGGAAGGCAGGATGGCAGCAGGGGCACTCTGGCACTGTCTCCCGCTGCTGGGGTCCCTCTGCCTGGGGCTGGGCTGGGCTGCTGCCTTCTTTTCTTCCTGCCACACTTAGTCTGCTTGCCAGGGAGGAGTTCTCAGGGGCCCCAGAGCACTGGGTCTTGGCAAAGCTGAAGTGAGGCAATCTGGAGCTCTCAGCACATAGCAACATGTGGCTCCTCTCCAGCCACTCTGCCTTCACATATGCCCACCCCTCACTGTGTCTGGTGATGAAGGAGGAATTGCTTTTCCCAGACCCAGCGGGCTTTGAAGTGTGTGGGATCTAGGAGCTGGGTCCACTCAACAACAGGCCCAACGCTTCCATCCAGAGAGGGTCCCGGGGTCCCCTGCACAAGGAGTCTCCTTAGTGACTCAGGAGAACAGGGGATCTACGAGTCTGGACACACTATATACCACCATCCTATATACTGGTTTTGTACTGATATAAATGATCCCAGGCTCTGGAGCAGACAGACAACCTGCTATCTCACGGTAAGTGGTAACAGAAGTTGATGCTCTTACAGTTCCTGACCACTAGGTGGCAGGAGAACACGATTTGCCTTATATCAAGCAGCTACCCCAGGATTGCTCTGGACCCACAGTGTAACTTACCCCAGTGTCGTTTTAACTCTGATGTTTCCCCCAGGGTAATTCTACAAGGGCTTCAAGTCAGGCATTCCAGTGTAGGGCTGGAGGCTGTGTGTCCGCTCCTTCCTGACACCCATGTACATGGGCTGATTGCACCCATGCAAATGGGCCATGTGTCCAAGCCCTGAAGGACACTACAATGAATACAACAATAAATCAGCCTGCACACATCAGCTTAATGAAGGGCCCTGCTCTGCCTGCAGGGAGCTTGGTCCCCTGGTGGGGATGCTCAGTGTCAGAGCTAACCCAGCCAGTCATGGAAAGGCAGGAGCAAGCAGCTGCCAGTACTTTGCTGACATTTGCATTTAGCAGTTAATGTCCTTGAGCTGGAGAAATCACCCAGGAGAAGGGGCCAGTTTCTCTTTAAGGGGGCAGGACTCTGGAAGCATCATGAAGAAAGAGTTTCTTTCCTTCTCCCCCCCCCTCCCAGCCAGGGAAGTAGGGCTGGGGGGATGAAGCAGAGAGCTCTGTGCTGGGATGGGAGGCTGAGCAGGGGCATGGGGTGAGGGAGGAGGAAAGCGGGGGAGGAGGAGAAGAGGGAGGATCTACTAATTACACAAAACAGCTCTGGGGGCTGCTGAAGTCCAGAATGAAGCACAGAGCAGCATAAAGGAGTGCTGCAGTGGGAGCGGAGGAGCCCAGGCATTGCTAAGTGCAGGCACTGTGAGGGATTCCCACCCGGGGAGGATTCTGCAGCTCTGTCTCTTCTGGGGACTGACTGTCCAGCACAGCCACCACAGGGGACTGGTCAGGCTTCACCCAAAGTCCTTCTTCACCTGCCCAGCGAGAGGGGTGAGTAGCCAGTCGGCAGAAGTGGGATAATGGGGGAGCAGGACTAAACTTGCCCCTCTGCTTGCTGACCCACAGCTGAGGGAGTCTGGTACTTCCCCGGGAGCCTTTGCAATGGACATTGGGGTTTAGGTTCCTGACCTTGCTCATTTTCTCCCTGGGGAAGGATGGCTGCTGAAGGGGCAGAATCCAAGCCCATGCCTCCTGTCACCCAGTCCAGGATGGAGAACTTCAGGAAGGTGAAGACATCAGAGGAAGACAGCCCTCTGCCCTTCACTGGCCTGGCCCCTGATGTGGTGGAAATGAAGGTGAAGGAGGGCAGCAAGATCCGAAACTTGATGGGGTTTGCCATGTCCAGGATGGAGCTGAAGGGCACTCGGCAGATTGTCTTCAGTGGCTGTGGCCGGGCGGTCACCAAGACCATTACTTGTGTGGAGATCATGAAAAGGAAGCTGGGGGGTCTCCACCAGGTCACCAAGGTGCGCTACAAGACCCTGGTGGAAGTCTGGGAAAACAAGGACCCTCTGCCCAATGGTCAAGTGGAGACCCTGACTGTCCATAAGAATGTGCCCTCCATCTGCATCCTGCTCTCCAAGGACCCCCTGGATCCCAGTGAAATGGGCTACCAACCCCCAGAGCCCAGGGAAGGGCTCTGGCCAGAAAAGGAGGAGATAGAGGATGAGATATCCACTTCCTCCCCAAAGGGCATGAAGAGACCTTTGACATCTCCACAGGAGGAACTGAATAACAAGAAGTTGCAGGTACAGGTACCAGAGAGTCAAAAGGGCTCAGGGATGATGGACTACATGCTGGACTATCCTCACTGACTGCCCCACCTCCCACTCTGAGAAATAACCTAAGCCATACATAGTTTCTATAGAAATGAGATTCTATATTGAAGACACTCTAGATTTTTAGATGCTTTGTAATCAATAAAGGGACAATGAAGTCAGCAACTAGCTTGGTCATGAGTCCTGGTGGTCTTGGCTGTCCCCATGCTTACCTTCTTTCATAGACATGGGTAATCTTTCCCCCTTCCCTTCCCACACACACTCCTCTGCCTCTTTGGTAGTAGCAGGAGGAGGGCGAGCCATTTCCAAGCTGTAGGGAGTGTGGTGTGGACAGAGATACCCCTCCAATGGAAAGGCAGCAAGGTACAGGGGACAGCTCCTGGGCATATGGTTGCAGTGGGTTGGTGGTCATAATGGGGTGGGTACAACACCTTACACTGAGCCTCAGGTACCAGGTAAAGACTAAGTATCCTGCTCCAAGGAAAGTCCAAACTAAAAAGGAAAAAGGAGTATGATGGGGTATGCTCAAGGGGTGGGAAAGTAAAGGGGTGGCATGTGTGATTACTGATTGGAAAAGGTTAAACCTGCCAGCCACTGGTTAAAGCCCAAGTGGCAGATTAACAGATGTGGAAATAGGGCAAGAGTCCCATATGGGAAGCCGGAGTGTGTGTGTGTGTGTGTGTGTGTGTGTGTGTGTGTGCGCGCGCGCACACGCGCCCATCCGTCCTTCTATCCTTCTATCCCTTCATGCATCCATCTCCCCCATTTTCTGCTCTCTCTCAGAGAAATGGAAATTAAATATGAGGTAAATGAGCATCTAATATTCTTACAGGACACGGAGATGTGATTTGATTGGGGTGGGGGTGTTTTGATGGGGTTTATTGTTCTAGCTGACTCTGCTCATTGCACTGTCAATAGTCCTCCACTATAACTTCTGTTCCTTTGAAGTGGCTCCTGGTGCATCCAAATAGGAACAGGAAAATTTACAATCCCTTAACTTTTTTCTTGCCTGTGTCTTTGTGCTCACAGGACTGCCATGAGGATTTAAAACTCTTCTCTATCCTCTTTCTGTTTCCCACCCACCCACAACCTCCTTCTTGTTAACTACTGCCCTTTCTGAAAAGAATGACGTTTCCGCAGCCTTCCAAAAGTCCCACTCTGTGGTGATGCCTTCTGCATATGTGCAAATAGTGATTCTCTCCTCCCCTGATGCTAGTGCAGGGGTAGTATTTCTGATACGTGGTTTATAGATCCAAACTCACTTTTTTTGTTCCATTACTGGATTTATTCCTCTGTTGGGAACAAGGCCAGCAGGAAGAAGGGGCAGTGGAATCATTTGTATTGATGACTGTCCAGCTGATATAGATATGGTGACATCTTCTTTAGCTACGGGGTGGGTCTCCATCTGTACAGAGAAACCTCAAGCCAAGGGAGCTCATACGCATCAGTTGATTGAGAATATGTCTGTCAGAGCCACTGTCCCTACCTCTGGCACCAAAAGAACAATCAGGGAAGGAAATCAGTTTGACTGACTTATTTCTAACCACAAATGGAATGAACTGGTTTGATCTCAGGTTAATTGGTGTCAGAGACTGTAGCCTACATATGCAGGTTGTCTTGATGGTAGCCCAGAAAGGCTTTGAAATGGCAGGGATGTGACCCAGAGACCAATCTCTTACTCAAAGTAAGAGGAAGTCCCATTTTCATGGCCTTTGGGTCTGTATGTAGAGTTTGCAATGTAGGATCCAGTCCACCCTGAGCCTGCATGGTGAGACTCAGCTGAGGGCACTGAGAACCTTACAGGTTTGGTCCCTAACATCAGGATAAAGAGACTGAGTGAGTTCCAGGATGGGAAAGGGTAAGGAATAGTATGAAGAAACCCAAGAGGGAGGATTGCTTCTGACCTGGGTTTGATTGTTTTTCTGAGCCCGACTTGGGGAGCTAAAAGTGAGAGAGCAGCCTGCTACAGGAAGAACAAAGTTGTTTCTTTAATTTTCTGGTGGGCATAGGGTATAAAAAGTCTGCTAATCACAACTCCTCCATGCACTGTGGCTAGAAGTCATCAGCTCCACATTGAGATGTCTGTGACATCAGGAAAGATGGTTTGCTTGAAGCTTGTTGGAGTAACACCTTCATTATCAGAGTCGCTTCAATTACACACGGAGAGGAGCTGTCAGCTTTATTAATGGCAGGCTCAGCAACTCATGGCTCGGCAATTCATTTTGAATAAAACACACAAACAAGCAGATGGGTTGTTTTCTCCCTCTGCCATTTATTGAGTACCAAGCTCTTCACTTTTCTTAAGCTGTGAGCCACAGGGCAATAACGCAGCTGAAAATGCTGTGTTTTTTCTCTCTCTGGTGTGTACTTTGCAGTAATTGTTTTATTTCATACTCTGATTTGATGCTACCTTGGACTCTGCTCTTAAATAGCTAAGGAAGAGCTGTCCTCATCACACTCTCTTTTTGGAAATCTCATAGGCAAGGCACTTTATAAGGTCTGAATGCTAGCCATATGTTTATGTTGTGAAGGTCTTTCGCTGATTTGATTCCCTGTTTGTTGATCAATGAGGAGAGGCAGATAGCTCAAGTATTAGAGAGCAGGCTAGGAGATGTGAAAGTCCATGATTCAAAGTTTACTGCTGATCCAGGTCAGGAAATGTTAAGGTTGCATAAACCAGGTCTTGTTTGAACCCAGTAGCATAGTCTAGTGGCTAGACTTGGGCTCTGCTCCCATCTTGGCTATTGACCTGCTGGGTAACCATGGGCTAATCACTTTGCCACACTGTGTCTCCGTTTCCTTTCCCGACCATCATCTATCTGTTTAGGTTGTAAGACAGCAGTCTCCAACCTTTTTAAGTAGGAGATCACCGTTGGCATTTAAAAGCAACCCAGGATCTACCGTGTGCTGCCACCACTGCCTGTCCCCCCCCAACCACTCCACCCAGCAGGTAAGTCCCACCTGGCCGGAGCCCCACTCAACTTACCCCTGCTCCTGCCTCTGCAGCACTGTCCCTCACCACGAGGGCCTCAGTCTAGCCCCCAACCCTTCCCTCCCCCACTAACTGTCCTGCTGGGCTGGGGCACACAAATGCATGCATGCATGCAGGCACTCAGCCCCCCACCCCAGCCTTGAATTGACTCCAAGAAACTTCGAGATCTACTGCAAGAGGCTCTGAGATCTACTGGTGGATTGAGATCCACTGGTTGGTGACCACTGTTGTAAGGTCTTTGGGGCAGGGGTGGCCTCTTGCTGTACAGCCCCTGACATAGAGGGATCATGGCTGGAAGCAATAACAACATCTGTGAAAGATCCATTTCCACTCTTACAATGAGTGTATAGTTTTTCTAACCACAAGTGGAATAATCGGAACAAGCGGTCTATCGGGCGCTGGTCAGACCGCAGTTGGAGTACTGTGTGCAGTTTTGGGCGCCACACTTCAAGAGGGATGTGGATAACCTGGAGAGCGTCCAGAGAAGGGCCACTTGTATGGTTAAGGGCTTGCAGGCCAAGCCCTATGAGGAGAGACTGGGGCACCTGGACCTCTTCAGCCTC